ACATGCAAATGTGGTCATGTTTTAAAGAATCCTCTATGATATTTCCTAGTAGTGATACCCCAGCAGCCCAAGTTCCTTCTCTTGTACCAAACCAAGCTCAACCCATTGCTGTCGAGTCGATTCTGACTCATAACAACCCTGTAGGACAGAGTGGTGATGGGTATACAGATTGCTGCATAGTGTTTCCAAGGAGTGGCTGGTAGGTTCGAACTGCCAACCTTTTGGTTAGCTCCCGTAGCTCTTAGCCACTGTGCAACCAGGACTCCTGCTCTTGTACAGCCCTACCCAATTTCCAGGGCCATAGTCTGTCCCGGAACCAGAAGTCCTGCCTAATATTGACAGTCAGGTCTTTTCTCTCAATTGGCCTGTAAGTTCTTTGAGGGCAAGGGACTATGTTTTACACCACTTTATATTCCACACAACATCTAACACAAATGTTTGCACACTGTAGAGTTTTAAATATTTGTTGTTGTTTTTAGGTGCTGTCAAGTCTATTCTAAGTCATAGCAACCCCATGTGTCAGAGTAGAACTGCTGCCCCATAGGGTTTCCTAGGTTGTGATCATTATGGGATGGAGCAGATTGCCAGGTCTTTTCTCCCACAGAGCCACTGGCGGGTTCAAACTGCCGACCTTTTGGTTAGCAGCTGAGTACTCAAACATTGCACCACCAGGGCTCCCTTTAAATATTTAGCAATAGATTAGCGTCAGTGTTACAGTTAGAATATTTTAAGTCATTCTTCTCTGTGTCATGTTCAGTGCTTTGGAATCAGATGGATTGGGCTTAAATTTCTGTATACCAATCGCTAGCTAGGTCAACTTGGGCAGGCTACTTAATCACAGCCTAACTTGCAGGGTTATTGTAAGAATCAATGATTAAGTATTTAAATGTCTGGCAGCTGCTGTTATTATTGTTATCATTTCAGTTACCTGGAAAGCAGAAGCTTCCTTCTGTAGCTGGTGATTCCACAGATGTGAGCTCTTGGTCTTTCTGTGATGCATTTCCATTTGGGAGGTTCAACTCCTATTATTTAAGGCTAGCTTCAGTGTGGGGGATGCTATTTGACCTGAATCTTGAAGGACGAGTAGTGCTTAAAAGGCAGAAATGGGTGGAGCAGGCATTTGAAATACAGGGAGCAGCTATGCAAAGACCTAGAGGCATGAAGGAGAGTGGATCATGGGGGAAGCTGGTTGTGGCTGGAGTGGTGGATGTACACGGCGGGGGGGGGGGGGGGGGGGGGGGGGGGGGGGGGCGGCGGCAGTGGACAGACAGAAGCTAAGCTTGTGGGCGGGAGGCAGATCTTGAAGGACATTGTATGTGATGATGAATTTGGGCTTTGTGTGGGTGAAACGGAAGCATGAGTATCAGTGGTGTGGTCAGGGTTGGTATTTTAGCAAGGTTTTTCTATGAGTGTGATTGTAGTCTTCATTAATTTCCTGTACGGTTTCAGAGATTCTCTGAACGAGATATTTCTTTTTTAACAATTACGTTAATGCACTTTGAACCAGTTGTATCAAAACCAAACAAAACTCACTGCCGTCGAGGTGATTCCGACTCACAGTGACCCTATAGGACAGAGTAGAACTGCCCCATAGGGTTTCCAAGGAGCGGCTGGTGGATTCGAACTGCCGACCTTTCGGTTAGCAGCCTTGCTCTTAACCACTGTGCCACGAGGACTCTGAGCCAAGTGTAGGGGATAGGAAGAGATCATTTGCCCAGCATGTGGCTTCTTCACAGACTTCTGGAGAAACATCTTGTTTCATTCATGGTTGGACTTGGGTGGTGTGGCCAGCATGCCCTCTTGGCCCAGATGTCTCCTCTGCCCTCTTTACGAGGTTGACAGTTAGCATCTTGAAATGTATTAAAGGCCCTTCGATCCCAGGTTTTTTCATAACTTGGTTTTTGCCTCAGGATTTCCTTAGAAGATGGAATCCATAATATCTTTGGACATCAAGCACAGCAAATTAATGCTAATCACTGTTTGTGTACTCTTCATTTCTCTGCTGATGTAGCGTACATCCAGCCAGATGTTTTCGAACAATCTTGAAATGTGTGAGCAGGGTTCAGCAAACATGATGACAAGTATCACTTGTTCTGTTTTCAGTATTGTTTTCTGCCTTATAAACAAGCCGAAGTTTGGGAAATGGTGAAAAGAGGCACCGTGTCTTGGAGGCAGCTCCTGCTTTTACACATGCATTCAAAGGAGGGCCAGAGTCCGGCTGGCCGGGTCTTCCTGCCCGTTGTACTGGGAATACCTGCGTCACGGCTGCGAGGCTGGCAGTTTTTCTCCCACACTGGGGCTCTCTAGCTTCCTTTTTCTGTACATCTCTCTTTCATGCTGTTCCTCTTGCTTTACTTCCAGGTGCCTTTTCCATCATCTGTGCTTAGTAATTCAACTATTGTTCTTCCTGTCTGGCTCTCTTAAATCCAGCCCACACCTTTTCAGCGGCATATCCTGACTCAAGTGTTTGAAAGCCGTTGTTTCATGTTACTTAGAAGTTCTTTTTCCAGCCAAGAAGCCTTACACAGAACTGTTCCCCTAAACTGAGGCTTAGAGACAAGCTTTGGTGTTTTGTACTTTGGGTACAGTTAAAGGAATCATGGGTAATTGCTGCCACACTCCTGCCTGTATGCTGGGAAACCTTCCCCACGACCTCCACACCCTCCCTGGGGCAGGCAAGCTCCAAGCTTGGCTAAGCCGGAAGGACTCATTGGGCCTCCCAGAGACTCAACATCTGCACTTGTGTGGCCTCCCTGGGCTCCCCATGGTCCTCAGTGGGGTCTTCCCTGGCCGCAGTTGCTTGGTAATCACCTCATCCGGGAAAGTCTCTGGGCTCCCCAGTAGGTCTCCACCAAATGCTGACAGGTGGCTGTTGGCAGTTCTCCTTCCTCTGTATCCTGTCTGCCATTGACCCACATTTTGTAGGACAGTCTGGTAGAAGAGCACTCCTACCATGTTCTGGACTCATGAAGACATGAGCAGGAGTCTGCTTCTTGACTCCTTAAAAACCCCTTGAGACGCCCTGGATGGCTGCCTTCCTGTAGGCGGTCCTGAAAAGGTTTCAGGGGAACTGCCATTCTTCTTGAGATCTTTTTGGGCAGAAGCTGAGCCCTATTCTCACGTCTAGCCTTGTTCTTTGGGCCCACCTGCTTGTAGATCAGGGACAGCATCCCTCACATTGCCTGGCCTCCCATCCCATCAGCTCTGGCTGCTGCAGACCCAGGCTTGAGGAGGCTGCAGCCCTTACCCCACTAGGAGCCTCTGGCATCGGGCTTCCTGTGTGCCGGCTGGTGGGAGTGGTTGGTGCTGACCCATTCCTGAGCTTGGGCAGTGACTGGTTAGGACCACCCTCATCTGCTCTCACATAGAGGAAAAAGAGACTTTCCTCCTTGAAATGCCTTTGAATGAGGACTGTACATCCTGCATGGTTGAGGAATTCACAGGATGAGAATCATCATGGAAGGGTATTTAGATCTAACTTAAATCACTACAAACACCTTTCTTTCTTCTGTGGTTTATACGGAGGATAGTCAGTGAGCAGATGCTGATTTAATACTCATTGATCTCAGTGCACAATTCTAGGCACTATGGAGGTAAGGCTAGAGAGAGGGAGATATTAGGGTTTTTCAAGAAAAAAAATCACATCCAGAAAATAACCAAAGGAAATGCCTAGGTTTCCTTATTTGTTGAGGGGAGATAAAGACCACCTACCTAGAAGAGTTGTTACATGGATCACATGAGATATTCTATGCAAAGTGGCAAACACAAGGCCTGGCATAGTAGGCCTTTAATAAATAGTAGTTCCTCCTTTGCTTTTTCTTTTTTTAAATTATTATCAACAACAAATACCAGCTACTATGGTACTTACTGAGTAGAGAAGATAAAGGCATAAAAGTTGTATCAGTGGAAGACTTATTTGATGAGGTGGGGATTAACTGAACTTGGGAAGATTGAGGACATGGCATGTGTAGTCATAGAGTTAGGAAAGCGCATAGTGTTCGGCCAGTGAATTGTGTTGGGAGAAGTAAAGGGTCCAATACTATGTGTGGCCCAGAATCATATTGGTGAAGTAAAATAGGAGTGGCCAGTTGGTGGAGGGCCTCAAAGGACTAGATAAGGAATTTGGGTTTAGTATTAGAGACAGAAAGGAATCGTCAGCTTCTTGAGCTGGGAATGAAAATTAATTTTGGAGGTCTTTGTGATAAGATTTCTTAGGGGAAGTCAGGGGACAGGAAGACCATCAGAAGGGTATCTAGACTCATTCTGAGAGCTGTCCAGAGACATAGCATACAGATGTAAGTAGAATTTGGGAATGGGATAACTGGGGGGCCAAGAGAGGGAGAAGGTTCTAAGTTTAGTGCTCAGAAGGTCTGGATGGAGAATGAAAGTACAAAGAGGGAAGAGACACCTTGTGATTATTGAGTGAGTTTGTGAAGGCCTACCCCCTAAAAAGCAGGCCTGGGGAACATTAAAGGGGAGAGGACCTTAGCCAGATGCCATGTTTCTTTATGTGCCTCAGTTCAGCCTTTCGAAGCTCAGCAGATTCATTCACCTTCACAGAATGAGCATTATCACGTAAGGTTATGTATAGATACTTATATCAACTGAGTCACATCTCTTGTGTAATTTTGTAAACAAATCAAGATTCACTTTTAATGAATATTCGAAGTTTCACAACAAAATTAATTTTGTTCCAAAAACCATGCTCTGCATAAATTCCTGTGTCCTGAGTAAAAGGAGCCATTCTAATGCTTTTAACCTGACCGCCCGTGGTCATGTTGTACTTATATCTGCCATAGTAGTTAGATTTATGCAAAGCCATCTGTTTAGCTGGGAGTTCTAGAACCTTGGTTCTTCTCCAGCCTGCTTCCCTTGGACCAAGCCTTTGGATAATCCCCCTCCTAAAACAAGTGCAGTAGTCTCCAGCTCGAAGTCAGACCACTTTGTGTTGGGGGACTCTGGCTTGAGCTGTGTTTTCTCCCTTTGTCTCTCCACCATAGACTACTGTTTTCCAAAGTGAAGTTGGAGTCGCTCTGCAGGGGCCCAGATGAGGCTCTCCTCACCTGTAAGCACATGTTACAGATATGGAAATCCTGCTACAACCTAACCAACCCCAGGTAAGAAACCAGCAGTGCCTGTTTTGCATAGTGTTTGTGTGTGCCGCTGCCTATCAGGGCTATCTCTGACTGGCATTTAGCAGGCATTAACTCTGCCACCGTGGTGCACCTCCAGGTCCCCAAGAGTAGAAGATGGTAACAGGGGGCCTCGCGCTCCATTTTTAATGGGATTTTCTCCCAGTGGCTGCTGAAGCCTCCAAGTTGTGGGTTTCTTTTGCTTTTGCTGCCATGGTGGCCCTCTAGGCTCAGTTCACAATTCACCTTGATCTGATTTCTCTGTACCAGCCAGTTACTTACCCTCTTTAACGATTCTCATCACCTTCCTGGTGGTTAATGGATAGACTAGTGAGTTACATGTTTCAGATGGGCTTCTTAACAGTAACAATAAAAGACAACAGGCTGCATCCTACGAAGGAGAGGGGAAATCACCATGGACATGATAAAGTCTAATTTTCAAAAAATTACAATCATGACTCAGACAAATATAAAATAATACATGACAAAGATTTTATTTACTTCACTAACTCTTGAGGGAACAAGTAAAATGTTAAGACCTGTTCAAAGAAGAATTTGAAAAACAGATATAGATAGACAGATAGCTAGCTAGATAGGCAAGATGAATTTGCGAATAGATGAAAAAATAATATCTTCTAGGGCAATGAAATGTTTTGCTTAGAGTTATCTTTTCTGCAGTTGTGGGGGTGGGGAGGAATCAACTGTATCTCTACCAAACCTGTTGCCGTCGAGTCAATTCTGACTCATAGCAACCCTATAGGACAGGGTAGTATGGCCCCATAGGGTTTCCAAGGCTGTAATCTTTACAGAAGCAGATTGCCACATCTTTCTCCCACAGAGCAGCTAGTGGGTTCAAACTGCCGACCTGTTGGTTAGCAGCCAAGTGTTTAACCACTACGTCACCAGGACTCCTTACCAGACAAAATTTATGTGTCTTACTGTTTCTGTTAGTTTTCTACAGGTTAATTTCTACCCCTTTAGTCTAGTCAACAGGAAGTCAGTCAGAGGTGCATACCCCATAGAATCAGATAATCCCAGGAGGGTCTACTAATCAACACCCCACCTTCCACTGGTTATTACGTTGTTAGGTGCTGTCAAGTTGTCTCCGAATCATAGTGACCCTATGCACAACAGAACAAAACACTGCCCAATCCTGCGCCATCCTTACAGTTGTTGCTATGCTTGAGCTCATTGTTGCAGCCACTGTGTCACTCCATCTCTCTGAGGGTCTTTCTCTTTTTCACTGACCCTCTACTTTAGCCAGCATGATATCCTTCTCCAGGGATTGGTCCTTCCTGATCACGTGTCCAAAGTAAATGAGACAAAGTCTCACCGTCCTCACTTCTAAGGAGTATTCCACTGGAAGATACCCAATAATCTATTTTGCCCATTTCCAAATCTTAGACAATTTTTCTTGATGTGTGTTTGGATTACTAAGTGTGCCCTGCTCTGTGAAAGAAGTAATCTAATGAAAAGGAACCTAATGATTCTAGCGAATTCACTTAACCACCCGTATGCTCAGAATACTTCACAAGTTCATAGCAAGGTATGTGGACAGCTCATTCCTGCCCATGAGAGTCAGGAGCCTTCAAATGTGAAACTCATTTTTGTATTGAGTTTGAAAATGTGCCCTTAGGGAGTGGCTTGCCTAGCCCAAAAGGAGGCAGGGAGTGGGCTGGCCACCTTGGGCACAGCATGCAGACCTGGGGTGTGCAAAGGTGGGATGGGATTGGAGGAGCAGCAAAGTGGATGTAGGGTTCTATGGGAGACATTGATTGATAAAAGTGTTTGCAGTTTAAAAAAAAAAATGTGTTCAAAATCAGAGCCCTGTTAAGGACGGTGGCCCTAGCAGCAGGCACTGCAGGCACTGCGGCCAGAAGGCAAGGGAGCCCAGACTAGAAAGTCAACCACTGAGCCTTCCCTGCCTGCCAGGGAACCACACAGCTCCTTGCAGAGCTCAAGTTGCAAGACTGAGACTAGAGTCTCCGCCCATCACCGCTGCCTGTGGCAAGTCACTCTACTGCCCTGTGCTCCCATCATCCTCTGGGAGCAGTAGACATCGTGAGACTGGCTCCCTCCCTTTCGTGGGTATGCTCTGAAAATAAAGATCATTTTAATTTAAAAAAAGTCTACTTCTCTAAGTCTGTGAGCAAAAATAGAAAATGCCCATATTTATCTCCCCTCAAAGCCTCCCATCCCTGGCCTCTCAGAAGTAGCAGGATTTGGGGGAAAGTCTTCATCCCATTGCCCAGCTAATGGGAGACGCGGCCCAGGCCGGCTGCACAGCACTGGAGCACATTCCTTTGCCTGTACCCCCTTCAGAAATGAGAAAATAAATCCATCAGCTTTCACATTGCCAATTTTCCCTCAGTTCTCCACACTTCTCCCACCTCCCCACATTTCCTCCCACTTAGCAACCAAGAATATTGAATGTGAGGAGAAAAAAATAGCAGAATTGGAAAGCTTTTTAAAAATACTTAACCAAATGCCTGGGCTGTGTCCATACTTCCTCCGTTTCCTGAAGGATCTTTCAGGACCAGAGCAGGGAGGAACCCTGGCTCCAGGCTCAGAGGCTGGGGGTGGGGAGGGAGAGGGTCCGTTGGTTGCTCAGACTTATTCCCTTGAGCCTCTCCCCTAAGCCTTCAGAGAGGGGGTGGTGGATCTAGCAGCCGCTTATTGAGGAGCTTCCTGTTTGTTTTCTTGAAACTTTTATTTTTTCTCTCTGGGATATAAATACACGTTTCTCCTGTAGCCCTTACCAATGTGAGGATTTAAGCATCCTCCTCGGCATGCTGGGTAAAAAGTGACCCTGGCGATAGAATAAAACCAAAGAAGGAAGGGCTGTGTCTTAACGAGGGCCAGCACACTGCAGTTTTCTAGAGAAGGGCAGCTGTGGGTCCAATAGCCTGGAACCTACAATCGCATCACAGAGGGTTCTAGAAAAGGGTAGAATTGCATGAGCAAGTATGTGAGAAACATCCCTTCAAAATTAAAAATCAGAACTGAGCAGAAAACATTTTGGTAGGAAGCAGTTTTGTGTCTTCCTGGAGTAGGTGGATACTGACTTCCTGCCTCAGGGTGCCCTTGTTTTTGAGCATGCTCAGTTGTGGGACCTTTGCTCAAGCTGTCCAGGTTGTTCCACTCTTCCTCCCAAAAAACCCACTGCCGTCGAGTTGATTCTGACCCATAGCAACTCTGTAGGACAGAGTAAAACTGCCCCGTCGGGTTTCCAAGGAGTGGCTGGTGGATTTGAATTGCTGACCTTTTGATTAGCAGCCATAGCACTTAACCACTGCCCCACCAGAGCGCCCACTCCCTCCTGAATCCAGGCAGTTCATCCTGAGTCTTGAGGCCTCCAGAGTGGTCAGATGATGAGACAGCACAGAGGAAGAAGGGACAGTGGCAGGAAGCAAGTGGTCAGGTTGAGACTAGACCCTGACTTCATGTTCTCAGCAACTTGTGCCTCCTATTTTGGCTTGAAGGAAATCACACTATAAGCCTAGTTACTGAACTGAGCCTTGGAAACTTGGAAATAACGCTCCACCTGCAGCTGAGAATTCACCTCTTGCTGTGAGCAAAATGGTGGGTGGCTTTCCTCAGGGGTATGTTTGGCAAGGTGTTTGTAATTTCAGAAGTCTGGTTTTATTCCCCTCGGTCTGCAGTTCTGCTTGCAGTTAGGGAAGAAAGCGGTTGTTCTGGATTAAATTGTGTCCCCCAAAAATATCTGTCAACTTGGCTAGGTCATGATTCCTAGTATTGTATGATTGTCTACCATTTTGTCATCTGATGTGATTTCCTTATGTGTTGTAAATCCTATCACTATGACGTAATAAGATGGATTAGCAGCAGTTATATTGATGAGATCTACAAGATTAGATAGTGTCTTAAGTCAGTCTCTTTTGAGACATGAAGAGAGAAGCAAGCAGAGAGACCAAGAAAGCAGGGCCGGGAGCAGAGCGTGTCCTTTGGACCTGAGGTTCCTGTGCTGAGATGCTCCCAGACCAAGGGAAGACTGATGACAAGGACCTTCCTCCAGAGCAAACAGAGAGAAAGCCTTCCCCTGGAACCGGCACCCTGAATTTGGACTTCTAGCCTACTGGACTATGAGAGAATAAACTTCTTTTTGTTAAAGCCATCCACTTGTGGTATTTCTGTTACAGCAGCACTAGATAACCAAGACAGCTATCTTATGTTTTGTCTTCTCTGTCTTAGTAAAGTCTAAAGCTCCCTCAGTTCTTGTGCATGTTGCTAACTGATGACCACTTGGCCACTTAAAATAAAAAATTCTGACGGGAGCCTCAGCAGAAGGTCCCAGCAGGCCTCTGAGCTGAGTGTAACAGCATTTCAGCTGAACAACACTTGTTGAGCCTCTTCTGGGCCAGCTCCGGACTAGGTCACTTACACGTTTTCTTCAATCCCTACATTAGCCTTGTGAGATAGCTACTGTTGTTTCCACTTCATAAAGAAAGAAACTTTAAGCTCGAGGAAGGTAAATAACTTGCCTAAATTTTCCCAGTTAAGCAGTAGAGCTGAGGTTCAGACCCAGGTCTGTCTAACAACTCTCCACCACAGCAAGCTGCCTCTGAGTTGACAACCAACTTCTTTTCCTTTATTTTTATTGTTAACCAACCACTTCTTTCTCCTCCTTTCGCTGCCACCTGGACCCTTAGGTTGTAGCCATGAGTTGACGTCTCCAAGTGATTGGAAGAAAAAATTTTCTTCCTAAGCCCTATTTCAATCACTTCATAAAGTTACCCCTGACTCCAGCCTTAGCTGGAAGTTGGAGACTCCATTTCCTACTCATGAGCACTTATAGTGCATTTTGGTGGAGCTTTTCTCCCGCCACCAGGGATTTTCTCATCTTGTCTTCAGAGTAGCATTAGGCAATGTCATGTTATGTCACATCTGTTTTACTAATAAGAAAATTGAGGCTCAAGAATGTTAGGAACTTGAGTCTTGTCATCAGGCCTCTTGGGCCTGGAGAAAAAGAGGAGGTCCCTCTCGTACTTGCCCATGACTTCCTTTCCTTGCTGTGGTTTTTATCCAAGGCCCCTCTCTCACACTCATGTTTATTGTGTGCCCAGCACTATTCTGTGAGCTGAGAGGAGACAGAGCTGCAACAAGAACTCCAGGGTTCTGACTCCTGGTCTACCACCACCTGGCCTCTTGTGTTAACATCTGTGTGGCTGTAGCAAATGAATTTCCAAGGGAGGTTTCCAATTTCTGGTATAACTTTAACTGTTATTACAGTTTACTGTCAATGTTCAGTCCTACTGGGGAGCAGAAATCACCTGGATGTGTGGTGTCTATAGCTTTTGTGCCATGGATTGGGGGTTCCTTCCAGTGTTCTCTCTCCTTGAGAGTTACTCCTGGCAGCCTAAGGGCCATGCCAAGAAGAGGTGAGGAAACTGGGCTGAGAAAGGGAATGGTTGGTTCATGTTAGATGTCCAAGAATACAGTGTCCTAGAGAGAGAGGGAAGGGCAACTTTTAGGCTTACATTAGAGAGACTGACTTGAGTGAGAAAGTTAAGGAAACTCGAGGGTTGGCCAAGGCCTCACCTTGCCTCTTCTCCCACATTCTGTGGATCATAGGAAAGGCAACTCTTGATTGGTTAAGACTTTGCACCATGTAATGAAGCACTAAAAATTGCTTCAAACAGCCCAGAAAATTCACAATCAGTCACAAATACCTAATTATTTTTAGAGGTAGAACATTCAGTGTGGAAGCAAAAACATCTCCATTTTCAGTAGTTAGTTGTTGCATATAGAGTGTTTTCAAAAAAAAATATGGAAGACAATCTAAGGAATGTAACTGGAGGTAGTTTCTTAGCTGATGGATGGGAAATGGATCCTGTGTTGTTAATCAGTGGATGAGGTTCATAGATTAAGATTATGGTTTTAGATAGGGTTTCTAACATTTGAACTAGGAGATCCTTCACTCAGCTTCCCAAGCCTCCTACAGTTGCTCCAGAAGGTTGAGGGTAGGAGTTGTCAAGCCATGTTAATGTATGTTATATGTATGTATGTTGTAGGGGTGTGTTTATAGTGGCACCTTGTGTGTGCCTAGCAGTTTTAACTCTTACAAATGCTTCCTACACACAACCTCATTTCATCCTTACACAGTTCTGTGTAGGCACATGATCCCATTGGTATCTACCAAAGAAGTCAGTGAGACACAGGGGAAATGAGCTTGCCCAAAGTGACCTACTCATTAGTAGAATGCCCTACAGATGTAGGATAAGAACTCAGGCCCTCCAGCTGGGTTCCAGGACCTCAGTTTCAGAGTCCTTCCCAAAGCATTGCAGGTGGCAGTCAACCCATGATCTGAATCTTGGTTAGATGGGAAGCCTGGAGGATTGTGGCCAAAATACTCAGCATTTCTGACGCGCTTCCTGAGATTTGGTCTACTGAGAACCCAGGTAAGCCTTTCCTTTGCAATGCCAGTGCGTCATTGTGTTTCCTGGAATCCCCGGAGTGATGAAGACTATTGCTATATTTTGAGTTAGTGTCTTCTGGAAGAACTCCTAAGTGGAAATCCATTACAATATTAACTTTCTATAATACTAACACTGCAAATATTAACTGTGAAAAATTAACTCTATGTAATATTTATTTTTAAATTTTATAAAAGAACAGTTAATTGCTATATATATTCAGTCAGTAATGTGATCAATGAATCGACTTGACAGCAGCTAACAACGTGATTAGTGAAATTTTGTACGTACTTGTATGTTGTCTTCCGCTCAGAGACATTTATTATTCTCAGTCATGGAAGTAATTAATGGCGTATATTCCAGAAAAACATGTATCTGATGATGTAGTTAAGTAGAGGTTGACAAATAATCTGTCCCGAAGCAAGTTTCCTTCTGTTTCCTGTGGATTTCTCTGACTACATCACTGGACATGGAAATTGCAGCCTGCAAACCATATTAAGTTTCATACTAAATCTTATTTGTACCACTGTTAGCAACAACTGCATAGAGGAAGGAAATTGTGTCCTGTTTATTGTAGAATTTGAACTTGTAACAACAACAAAAGTCACTCTTAGGGCCTCCAGATTGGACAAAAAAAGTAGATTTAAAGAAAAACACTGGAGTCAAATCTCAAGAGGCAGATATGATTCTTTTTGGAGCTGCTTTGATAGAATATCATGACAGAAGAAAAAAGAAAAATGCCATTATTTTTGCTTACAAGCTTCTGAGAATCCAAAAGAGAGTCCACGTGAGCTGAAGTCCGTGAACTGTGTTCATCCTCAGTTTGGCCTGAGGTGGCCTCCCAGGTGATGTTGCCCGACGAATAGCCCAAGCTGGGTTCACAGGCGCCTCTGGAGGTGGGAGCTCGGTGAAGACTGCAGGAGAGCTGGCTGGCCGGGAGGCTGCCCCCCAAACCCTGCTGTGTCCTGTCCACACCCCTGGACATGCACTGACCGGCCATATTCTCCAGCTTGGGGTTGCTGAAGAGAGGCTGCAGTTCCAGCTCTGCTGGCCACCAACTCATTGTGTCACCTTGCACCTCCTTTTCCTAACCTACTAAAGAAGGATAATAACCACACGGTTCATCACAGAGGCTTGTTCTGGGCATGCACACGAGGCCGTGGCTGTGCTCTCCCTTTGAAAAACAGGGGCCAGGGCTTCTCAAACCCAGCTGCATGTTAGAACCATCTGGGGAGCTTTGAAAAATGTTGACCACCCCAGAAATTCTGATTTATGTGGCCATTTTCTAGAAATGTCCCCAGGTGAATTTTTTTTTTTTTTTTTTGTAATTAATGACATTATTTTTGTAGAGCAGTTTTAGATCTACAGAAAATCGAGCAGATAGTACAGAGAGTTCCCCTATAACCCCGCTCTCCCCAGCTCAGTTTCCCATTACTAACGTCTTGTCATAGTATTGTATATGTTACGGCGTTGAACCAATGTTGATATGTTGTTATTAACTGAAGTCCACAGTCTAAATTAGGGTTCACTCTTGGTGCTGTACAGTCCTCTGGGTTTTGACAAACGTGTAATGTCATGTGCCCACTGTTACAGAATCCTACTGAATAGTTTCACTGCCCTAAAAAATGCCCTGTGTGCCACCTATTCTTCCCTCTGCTCCTGAGGCCCTGGCACCCACTGATCTCCTCACTGTTGCTCCGGTTTTGCCCTCCCCCAGGCGGTTTAGGAGTACCGATGTCAAGTGGTTGGTTCATAAAGCCACGCTGAGGGTGGCGTGTGGAGGAGGCAGAGGCTTGATGAGCCCTCAGACTGCACAACTCAGAATGCCGGTTAGGTGGACAGAGAGCCTGGCTGGAAGGTTTCATCACTGCATCTCATAATGACACGAAAGGGGCTAAACCTAGCCAGGGTTGGTGGGTGTGGTTTAAGCGAGTTTGCGATATTGAATGCTGGAAGGAGCCCTGGCCAAGCCCGGCCGCAGGAGATGCTTCTTTCACGAGTGGGAAGGTGCTGCAGAAGCTGGAGCACGCAAAAGGTGTTATTGCATTTCAGGAGCCGGTGTGGGTTGATTATGTCTCCTCCCCTCCCCCCTCCAATGACTGACATTTGTAGCTGTGTTTTGCAGCGATTCTGGACGTGGGAGCAGCCTCTTAGATAGAACCATTGCTGACAGACGACAGCTTAATACAATTACTTTGCCAGACTTCAGCGATCCCGAGACAGGTGAGAATAAAAAGCCAGAGGGGATGAAATGGTGTCAAAGAAAACGGGGCCTGTCACTGAGTGATGGGGATGGAGACAGCCAGGGGCTGGGGCTGGGAAAATTCAGACACGCTGAACATCAATGGGCGCATTTTCTCCAGTGTCTTCTCCAAGTGTTTGCTCACGGTCGGGGAGGCAATATTACCCCTCCAACGCAACCCAAAAATCTTTCTATTTTTCCCTTTGCTCTTGGAGCTTAAAATTTGAAACTAAGAATAGGTTGTCCCCACCCCCATCAGATTTCCTCTTTTTAGATTTTAGAACCTGCTGAAATCAAGGTTTTTTATTTCTAGCCAATTGTGCATATAAACACATATCGAACCAGCAGCCACTCCCCCTCCCCCCATTAGGGAGGCAGGCTGGTCCTGAACTGCTAATTCCACCTTCCCCATGTGGAGGCCTGGGCACATTTACTGCCTCTGAGCAGATATTGACACCTCGTTGTTTGTGTTCCACATTTGCCAAAGTACAGGGGAGTGAATATACCCACGTGATTTCCAAACCTCCAAGCCAGCAATGCCAACGGTAGTTCCGACTATCCAGCGACAATTTGGGGACTCCACAGACCCACAGAACATAATGAAATTCATTCTCCTGTAAGCCTTAATGCAGTTTGGGGAGCCTGCAGCATCATTTGGACCTGATTCTGCTGCCCCCATAGGGGCGCACTGGAGGCTTAATCCCTATCTGGGTCAGCCTAGTTGTTTGTGGCCTGGCTTCATGGAAGGAGCCTCGGTCCTTCTCCTGTCCTTGTGCCGTCTCCCAGACCCTGACAGAGGCCTTCAGAGAAAGCCAGAGCCCATCCTCTAGAAAATCCACCAAGAGCCCTCCGAGAGCCCTCTCAACTACCTGCAGACTGTGTTTGTGCACTAGGCTCGCTTTTATCAAAGTTAAAATCAGTTTGACAAGTCTGAACCAAGGGCCCTGGGACTCCTAGGTCAAAACGATTGTCGGGTGTTGGCAGGGCCACAAGTTGTAGATTAGTGCAGTTTAGCGTCACTCGCAACCACTGTTCAAAATGCAGAGTGACTGAGCCACAGAAACTCCTCCCCTGGAGTGGCCTCACCCCTCGATGGGTGAACTAGTTGTTGGTGGGGTCCCGCTGCAAACCAGGGAGAGAGTCTGACTTGGAAAAGCACAGCAGAGTTCCGCCTCATGGGCTCCTGTCCTGATCCAGGTCCCCTGCTGGGGGGCCCTGTAGCCCCCTCATTGCAGGAAGGGTAAGGCCAGGCTGTCAGGACCAGCTGACACGGGAGAGGAGAGAAGGAGTTGAAGCTCACTGTGGCGCCAGCAACAGTTTTGGCTGATTCAGAGCAGCTGCTGTGGCTGCCCAGGGCTGTCTGCCCCCTTCTGCCCCCTCCCCACGTCCCTGTGAGGACAAACCCAATCAAACCCACTGTCGTCGAGTCAATTCCAATTTACAGCAACCCTATAGAACAGAGTAGAACCGCTCCATAGGATTTCCAAGGCTATAATCTTTACGGTAGCAGATCACCAGGTCTTTTCTCCTGCAGAGCCGCTGGTAACTGAAAGATTGGCAGTTCAAATCCTCCAGCCACTCCTTGGAAACCCGGTGGGGCGGTTCTCCTCTGTCCTATAGGGTCGCTATGAGTCGGAATCAACCCAACAGCAACTAGTTTGGTTGTTCGGTTTTTAATTTTTACAGAAGCAGACTGCCACATCATTCTCCCGTGGAGAGGCTGGTGAGTTCAAACCACCAGCCTTTTGGTTAGCAGCTAAGTGCTTTAACCACTGTGCCACTGGGGCTTCTTTGAAAATAAGTGAGGCCCTTGTTATTGTTTCTCCCCTTGGTCTCATGGGACATTTTCCCTCAATCCCTCAGGAGTCTCCCTCTTGAGGTTACACCTTCTGAGGTGCCTTTGTGTCCAGGTGAGCTGTGTCTCAGTGGCATAGTCTAGGGGGGTGCTGCCCCCAGTCAGGCCCAGCCCCTTTTTTTCTCCCCCTTCTCATTAGTAGTATTTATGCAGCTGAGCTCTCAGTTCTGGGAGCCCAGGGGGCTGGAATCTGATTTGCTGGTGTATACACCCTTCTTGAACAATCGGAAACCCACAGCCTCCCAGGCACTGGCCAGTGACCGTTTTAATGTTGTTTGACCTCTTCTTGAGAATCCCTCTAAGTCTGTTTTTACTGGCCCTGTGTCCAGAGCACTAAATGTGGATCTACACATCACCAGTTCTATAACCAGAATCCCTGGGTGGCACAGATGGTTAACTGAAAGGTTCAGGTCCACCCAGAGGCACCTCGGAAGAAACACCTGGTGATCTAATTCCAAAAAATTAGCCACTGGAAACCTTATGGAGCACAGTTCTACTCTGGCACACATGGGGTTGCCCTGAGTCAGAGTCGACTCAACGGCAACTGATTTTAATTACTTAACCAAGAGACCAGAGAATCAGAAAAATGGAGGGTGGGGTTAGGGGGGCTTATCAATTGCAGACAGTTTGTAAATGAGGGTAAAACATTCTGAAGTATTCATGTAAATCAAAGGGACTTAACAATTAGGACGACATACCTAAAAATGGAAATGATCCTGCCATCTTGATCAACAAAACCCAGTCTTCTGTAGTTCAGCTCAGGGCACAAGAGCGGGAGGGACAGCCCGTTCTTAATACACCTATGTGGATGGGCAGCCTTGTGAACAATCCACAGATTTTATAGTTCACCTTAATTTAATTTTAATAGGTGATATATTTACATAATTCCAAAGCCAAGACTATATTATTCAGAAGGCACCATTGAGAAGTTCTGTTTCCATCCCTGCCCCCCCCATCTTGTCTTTCCCCAGAGGTGACCATTTTTATTAGCTTTTTGTTTACCCTCCCAGTGTTTTTTCATGAAAATATATATGTTATGCCACCTTCTATAAAAAAATAGCATACTATACATACTGATCAGCACCTGCTTTTTTCAGTTTACAACATATCCTGAATTTTGCACGGTATTTGTCCACAGAGAATTTCCTCTTTTTTTTTTTTTTTTTTTCGGCTATGTAGTGTCCATGGCATGATCACAGCCTCTTTCCTTCCCTTTGCCGCAGTTTTCAGTTCATGTGGTGCTGAAGGAGGCTGGCTAATTTTGAATATCTGCCATAGCCCAGCTCACGTAAAGAAGCAACTGGGCTATAGAGAACGAAAAGGAACTTTTCCAAGGCAGCAGTGTTTCTGAATCAAATGGAAGTAACTCACGTCCGCTATGGTCCGGGAGAACCAGCCCTATCTGGTGGCAGCGTTTGGAGCCCTGGTTCATGCCCCAGGCTTGGCTGCTTTTGTAGATCCCCTTAGAGAGACAGGCACCCAACATGAGCAAAGCCGTACTGTGTGGACATCGGTAAGCATGGATGACCTCAACGAAGGCGATCTTCCATTGTCCTGATCTCGCCCACTCTGGCCCTGGGACCAGAATCACCCACTGCACTGTGCAGACCCCTTTGTGAGGGTTGTTTTCTTTGTTTTGTTTCTCAGAACTAAATTTATTTTTATTTTTTTACAGAAAATTTTCAAATCTACCAAAACAGAGATACTAATGTAATGAGTCCCATGTTTATACCACCAAGCTTCGACAATTAGTATTCTTGTTTCATCTATCTCTCCCACCCCCACTTAGTTTTTCTAGAGTATTTTAAGACAAATCCCAGACATCATATTTCACCTGTCAAAATTTCAGTAGATACGTCTAACAGATGTTGTTGTTGCTAGGTGCCGTCAAGTCGGTTCCGACTCATAGCGACCCTGTGCACAACAGAACCAAACACTGCTCGGTCCGTCCTGCACCATCCTCATAATTGTTGCTATGCTTGAACCCACTGTTGCAGCCACTGTGTGAGTCCATCTCGTTGAGGGTCTTCCTCTTTTTCACTGGCCCTCTACTTTCCCATGGTGTCCTTCTCCAGGGACTGATCCCTCCTGATAACATGTCCAAAGTTTATGAGACATAGTCTTGCCATCCTTGCTAACAGATAAGGACTTTTAAAAGGTTAGCCAGAGTACTGTTACTACACATCCTGGTCGTTGTGAAGTACAGGCTCACTGTTCATGATTTTGGAACGGGTTGATTAACTGGAATATGGTTTTCCACCTCTGAAATTGTCCATATGTAGATCTGTGGAAGCTTTGGACTGACCAAGCCCACTTCGGTTAATTGAGTAGACATGTCAAACTAAAAAAGCTCCCATTAAAGAACGTGCTTCTCCCCTAGTATCACCTCTGGCTTCCCCTCCCCGAGCTATGTCGTCTAATAGGTCCCAGCCAGTGAAAGAGAGGAATCAAATGGAATAACAGTCTGCCTTTGATGCTGTGAGGCATTGTCTTTTCTTTGGAATAAGTTGGTAGTTCCTTAAACAGAGGATGAAATAATTTTTTTTTCTCCCTTTTGCCTTCAAAACAGGATGTGGTGTAAGGGATTTATCTTTAATCAATGGAAGATATAACTGGACACCTGTCCAAAGGAGCCCTGGTGGTGCAGTGGTTAAGGACTCAGCTGCTAACTGAAAAGTTGGCAGTTTGAACCCACCAGTTCTCTGAGGGATAAAAATGTGGCAGTCTGCTTCTGTAAAGATTACAGCCTTAGAAACCCTGTGGGGTAGTTCTACTCTGTCCTATAGGGTTGCTATTAGTCAGAATCGACTTGACAGCAGTGGGTTTGGTATCCAAAGCAAAATATTCCTTTTAACCTGAAAGCTTGGTCCATTTTATTGGGGAAAATTTTTGACTGGGAGCTGTAGTGGTCTTCCCATCACTATGTATCTCTCCAGCTGTAAGACATAAAGGTGGCAGTAATAGCATCCTTTTCAACGTGCCCAACCATTGCACCCAACATAGACCACCTTAGAAAGCCTAGCACTCCATTGTCACGATCCTGGGACCTCAACATGTCATTGCATCTCAGTAACATCCTTAGTTTTCAAGTAAGCATAAGTGCTTCTCATAAAAAACAAACTATGAAAAGTCAAGTTCCAACCCTTTCCAACTGAAAAGCAAATGGTTTCCTTTAGAACGTCCTGGTTGTGGTAGGTTAAAGATGTATTATTTTCAGTGGATCATACTGCTGAATCTGTGCCCAGGTAAATCTGAGTTATTTTTATTCCACGGTGTTGTTGCAGAACAAATAACCAGTGGAAAAAACAACAACAAATTTGTTTTCTCTGAAAAGCACTTGTATTCTATTGTCAAGTAGAGGAATGATGATGTACTACATGACCCTATTTTCTTTGCAGCTTATGTGAGTATATTAAAACCTAGTTTATCTTTTTTTTTTTTTTTTTTGCTTTGTGTCTGTAAAGTTTCCTTTTGCCTTTATCCTTTTTTTTTTCTCTTTTCACTGTTTTAGTGTCAGATTCCTCCTCCTCCTCCTCTTCTCTTTCAAGAACCGACTCTCCTCTCCACCTGTTTGTATCTTCTCATCTTCACTCTCATCCCAAACCTGATACCTTTGTGTGGCCCCCTGCAGCGCATTCATTCAGTGACCCAGGTCCCCGCCGGGATCCCTCTCTATGTAAACGTGGTTTTTCCTTTCTTGATAGACCTGCTTCATTTGCCTGATATTTTATTTTCTGATAATCTTCCTAACTGTAAGCTGGACAGGAAACTGCACCAAACTTGTCAGAGAGAGAATCTCGTTAATTTAAAAATCCAAATGAGAAGATGACCTGAGATTGCAGATACTGGTGCCCAAGTCCCAACCTCCTCTTTGAAAAGTATAGTAGGCTGTTTTGAGCAGAACAAATGGATGCTTTTCTAGAATATTGCTTCCAGCTCTCGGTTGTGTCCGAGCATTCCTGGAGTTGATATAAAGTCATAACAACTCATTGTACTAAAGAAAAGGAAAATTGTAACATCCAGCAAGTAATGATTTAATCTTAGATATTTCTAATTTTTAATTTACAAATTAATTCAACCAGTATATAACAGTCAAGGCTGTATTGTAAAGATGGAACCCTGGTGGCACATTGATTAAGAGCTTGGTTGCTAACCAAAAGGTCTAGCCACTCTTCGGAAACCCTTTGGGGCAGTTCTGCTCTGTCCTTTAGGGTCGCTATGAGTCGGAATCGGCTCGATAGCAACAGGTTTCGGTTTTTTTGTTTTATTTTAAAGATAGTGACTCTATGCCTTCTAAATACATGGTTCTCAAACTTTACTGTGCATTGAATCTCTTGGAGCGCTTTTAAAAATGCAGTTCCCCTGAGCCCCACCCTAGAGTTTCT